GCTGACAGCTAGCTCAGAGCCTGGAGCCTGTCTCAGATTCTGCATCTCCCTCTCTCTCTGACCCTCCCCTACTCACACTGTCTCTCTTCTCTCTCTCAATCTGAGAAATGAGTAAACATTAAATATATATATATATTTCAAATGTGTAGATGCAAACTATTTAATATATTACATATGTAACATATGCTCAAAACTCTCCTGCAGTTTTCCATTGCACTTTGAGTAAAACCTACATGCAAAGTGATTCCAAGGTCCTACAAAACTTTCCATTCTAGACCCTTTGACTTTTTCCACTAATGCACTGTCTTTATTACTCTTTCCACTCAACTACACCGTTCTTTTTGAAGTTCCTCAAACACATCAGAATCACCCTAGGTTCAGGATATTGTTCTTGTCCCATGTGCCTGGAACAGTCTTTCCCCAGATGATCTGCACAGCTGACTCTCTCACTTCTCTCTGTCCTTAATACGACACTACTGTCTAGTGAGACAGGTAGACAATAAAACAGCATACTAGCTGTTTATAATAATCTCAAATGTTAAGAAATCTATGAAGGAAATACATCATTATAAAATGGTTCACTAAGAAAGTCCAAGAATAACTCTTGGTGCCAAAAGGTTATCAATTGTTTAATATAAAGTTAAATATAACATTTATATAGCTTTGAGAGACAGCGTGCAAGTGGGGGTGGGGGGACAGAAGATCCAAAGCAGGCTCTGCACAGATAGCACAGAGCCCAATGTGAGGCTTGAATTCATGAACCATGAGATCATGACCTGAGCTGAAGTTGATGTTCAACCAACTGAGCCATCCAGGTACCCAAAAAGTTTTTTTTTTATTATCTCCCAAAGAATTACAATTTAAGTAGAGGAAGAAGCTATAGGTGACATAAATTGTCAACCTTATTTTAAAGCATTTGTTACAATCGAATTAGAGTAAACAATAGACAAAGAAGTAAACTCACAAATAGATAACTGGCAAGACTGCCACCCTATGGTAGAAGCATCCCCTTCCTTTTTTAACCTGTCTTAATTGACCTAGCTATTGTTGAAAAGAAAACCACAGGCCCCAAATGGCAACATTTAGGCTAAATCACCAAACTGGGGCTCAATGTCTAACCCTAATTGCAGTTTCAACCTACCCTAAGAAATAGAAGTCTTAGTCAGTTAGGAATTTCTGATAAGTACCCATGTGGTAATCTCTTACATTCGCCCTCTACCACCCCCAAAGATGAAGTAATTCCACCTAATAAGACTCTTGCTCTTCCCCCTAAGGGAAGGTGACCTTGCCTGAAACAGTCCTTTCCTTTATTTTGCTAATAACTTCCTTGTCCCATCCTCTCCTGTGAAAGCCTTGTATTTTGTACAAATCATCAGATTTCCTCTCAACTTGTTAGATAGGACACTGCCTGATTCATGAATGGCTTTTTAAGTCCACTTAGATCTTCAGACTTATTCAGTTGACTTTTACTTCTTTAAAATTACAAAATCAGGGCACATGGGTGGCTCCGTTGGTTAAGCATCCAACTCTTGATTCTGGCTAAGATCATGATCTCATGGTTGCGAGATCTCGCTCCTCAGTGGTGAGATCAAGCCCCTTATAGAGCTCCAAGCTGGGGGAGCTGGCTGTGGAGGCTGCTTTAGACTCTCTCTCCTTCTCCCTGGGCCCCTCCCCGACTCTCTCTCAAGGAAAAAAAAATATGAATCTTTCCTACCACCCCATTCAAAAATCAGTCTTAGTCCTTCTTTCCCTTGATAAACTATGACTTCTCTGAGGCCGGGGAACTGTTTTGCCTTATTTATTCCTTACAGTATTGGGGGGGTGTAGAGTAATATGAAATTTTAAATAGTGTGGACAGGGTGAACCTCTTTGTAAAGGTGACAGTGAAGCACAGATTTATAGGAGTTGAGGAAGTTGGGTATGTGGCTATTTGGGTGGGTAAGAAGAGGGGGCAGACTTTCAGGTCTAAGTAATACCTCATGTGTTTGTGGAAAGGCAAGGAGGCCTGTCATGTCTGAAGCCAAGTGAATAAGAGGCAGAGTAGTACAAAAAAAGGTCAAGAGATGCTAAAAAGGCCAGAATTTGGGATTTGCTCTTCTTGAGATAAGGAGTCATTCAAATTCAATCAAAGATATGAAGTACCTGATTTGCACTTTAAAGGGTGTACAGAACTGATTTTTGAAAATGAATCAGACAAGAGTGAGGTCTGACTCTCATGTTAAGAGTATCCTTCTGGAAACTATACTGAGAATAAATTTAAGAGGGGGCATGTAGGGAAGCAGGGAGACCAATGAAGGGGCTGTAACTAGAATTTGAAGGACAGATGACAGTGGCTGGAACCTAGGTGGTAGTGGTAAAGATGCTGAGAATCAGTCACATCCTGGATCTTGCAGGATATGTTCATAGGGTGGGTGTGCGGTTTGAACAAAAAGAAACAAAGGATGAACAAGGATGGTTCATGGCTCATGGCCTGAACACCTGGAAGGGCAGAGCAGCCCTTTACTAAGAAGAAGTCTCAGATGGGAGAATACCAGAAGTGTATTTCTAGAATTGAGACACTTATTAGAGGCCTAAGTGGATGTAATAAGAGAGGAGCTGAATGTAGAAGTCTGGAGTTAACAAATGGAGACAGAAGTCTGGGAATTGTAAGATTTTAGAGCCAAATGAGTATTTGAGATAATCTAGGGACAAAAAATAGATAATGCTTATTCTAGATCTAACACTTTGGGCCAGAGCAACAAGGAGAGGTCAGGGAGATGAAGAGGAACCAGCAAAGGAATTTAAGAATGACCAGCTGCTGAGGAAGGAAAGAAACAAGAGGGAGGGGTATACCCAAGGCAAAGTGAAGAAAGTGTTGCAAGAAGGTGGTTAGTGCAAATTCTCCTCAGGTTGCCTTAGTAAATACATCCTACTCATCCTTCAGAACAGAGTCCTTTTTTGATAAACCCTTTCTGAGCAGCCCTGCCTTGGTAGATGACCCTCCTCTGCATTGCAAAACCACAGTGGAGATCCCAATTACAATACTTAGCAAAAGTATAGCTGCACCTTCACTTCTCTGCCCTTTGCTCCCTCCCTCCCCTCATCAAAAATGTGAATTCCTTGAGGGCCAGAAGCTTCCGTGGAATGCTGGAGCAAAAATCATCTCTACCAAGGGGAAACAGGAACTTACATTTACTGGGAGCTTCCTATGTAGCAGTCAACATGTCAGTACCTTTACTTAAATGTTCAAAATGTTGATTTAAAAAAAAAGAAGTGCTGAATAAACAACAAAGATCACAGAGACGATAGGTAAGAGCAGCATGTATAGCACACAGGTAGAGCCTGGAATGAATCAGGGTACTCGTGCATCAGGGGGCCACAGCTTAACGGCAACGGCTAAGAGATTACTCAGCCAACTCATCGTGCTCTCTTCCCAAGCTCATCAAACAAAAGTACCCAATATAATTTCATTTCCTTCATATATTTTCCTGTGGAGTTAGAAAGTGACGGACAACCAAACAACAAATATCTATTCCAACTGGCTGCTGTAGTTCTCACTGTGTCCGAATACATTGGTGTTCTGTTTTAGAAATTAGTCTAATGTAAGTTTGGCTAGTGTATTTCTTTGGGACTTGTAGTGTTGATAAGACTGCTTGTTTTCTGTTTTTCATGTGCCAAAGGCATGCTGTGTGATAAAAATGAGGCTGACTGGCAATCATGAGAGACTATGGTACTGAAAACCATGACTTACAGGCTGTGTGACTGATTGCTGAAGGAAAATATTGAATTGCATTTATTTTATCTCTTGTTGATGTACAATAATGGTCATAGTCAGAATTCTTGCATAATGGATCGAGTAGAGGTTGCTATGCAAAGCCTTGAGCAAAAAATCATATTTTGATATTGCTTCAAATGTGATCCATTTCTCTGTGTTTGAATTTATTCCCTAAATGGAAAAAATGGAATCCCAGAGCCACCCTCACACACTGCAGGTTTAAATCTAACATTTGTCAGTATAGCCAGTCTTGCTAAACTAGATCAATTCGTGACGCTTTGACAAGGTAGTGCATATAGTCCTTTAAAGACCAAAATTTGAACTGTGCTGACACAGCTAAGGTAATTTAGTTTCAAGATGCTAACAGGGTTCGGATGTGGTCTCCTTCTGGGATACCTATACTATCTCTAAATTCAACAGTGACAAAGAAAATTTTGGATGAAGTCATTTGGAAAAATGACATCGAGTAGATAAAACCTTTGCCAGAGTTTTTATCTTTGAAAACATGTTGGAGAGTAATCTTTCCTTTCTCTTTATTGACATCGGGGAGATGAGAAGAGAAACTATAAATATAAAATTTCTTGTTACTAACCAATCAATCTCTACAACCAATCTAATAAACCCTTTGTATTTTTATGTCCTAAGTATATCTGAATTTAAATCCTCTTCATGTCCCCTATTATAGCCAACATCATGCCAGTTGGAGACTGATACTGCCAACTTAGTATGTTTCTAACTTTGGAAACTACCTATCACCTAGATTTTTTCCTTAGAATAGGGCTTTAGGGTTTTCTTGAATGGACAAAACCCATTATATTATATTAGAATTTTCTAAGCCTTTTGCATTACTAGGCATTGTTTATTGTGCCAATGGCTGTTTTCCCAAGAGTCATTTTGGTAGTTAATCTTCTGCATTCTTAGTTTTCAACTTACTAGTTCCTGGGGTCCTAGTTTGTTTTTGTTCATGAGATCTCATTTATTCATATAAAGTAAGAGCAGATGAGACTAAGGGGATTTTATAAGCACAGTTTGATTTTATAAGTGAACTTCAATTTTATAAACTATGTTGATAATACAATAAGAAAAGGATTCTTTGAATCATCCAGGAGGATATGGGTTGAACCACAGAGAGTTTCTGAATAGAATGGAAAACCTTTGAGTGAGACTGGTTCATGGAGTTAGGGATTTTTACAATGGTATCCTGACCATATGCTTAGACATCTTTAATTTATGGTATGTATCTTACCTTAACTTCCACATGTGCCATCAGTACTGCAAAATTGGTTAAGTGGTTACAAGAGCATGTAGTATGTGTCTTATTTGTTGTTAGGAGCCGACAGCCTTGTGTTGACCAGTAACCTGTCATTGTGCGCTTGGAGTAGCTCCAAAATGAACAGTTAGGGTTGAAATTCTCCTCGGACTGCTACAGAGGAAAAAAAAATCAATAAGGCTGATAACTACTTTATGATCATGTATACGCAATATCTTTACATCTAACACACATTTATCCTCTGTTCCAACTTTTGTGGAGATGTATACCAGTGTTTTCATAGTAAGTGGGCCTCATCAAGCCTAAGCCAATCTGACTATATGTTGTTTATTTCCTCTGATTAGAGGTAAGTTTACTTTACTTTTTAAAAAATTAATATTGTTGGAATGCTGGTATCAATGTCACAGAATGCCTTCAACTAATTTCAAAGTGAAGTACATTATAAAGAATTTAAACAATCAACTTCTGAAAAGATGGTCTTAGAAATCTTTGTTCAATTTACAATATAATCTTTGTAGATACATAAAAATATATCTTTGTATAAAGATATAATTACTTGTAACATCATATGTGAAGCCATGTCCCATTCCACTAAATATACTGCTAGTTCTTTTTAATTATGGAGACACATTTATAAATCCATCTACTAATATTTTTACCAGAAGCATTTACATATTCAAGAATTACTATCCTCTCTCATTTCTGAAAAAAAAAAAAAAAAGATCATTACTATCATTTTATAGATAATGAATTGTTTACCTGTCAAATAATTGGAAAAAATTTAAGGGAAAATTAATATATTTCATGTTCATGCTGTAACAACTGAACTTAACATACCATTTTCTTACCTTAATATGTTTAACAGTGAACACCACAGGATCAGCTAAATAAACTTTATTGCTGAACTCTTTGTTTATTGCTGCTGTAATAACGGGGGAATTGACAATAACAGAATGATTGGTAGACATAGCCTCTGTTCCCAACTTCATGCTGGCATTTTCTGTCGACAAATAAGGACCCAAGTTGTTATACAGGACAAAGGCCACTCTGATTTCTCCTGAAATAAATGAAAATGTGAATTATAAGTTGGGAAGAAACTCTGATTACTTTGTACATTCCATTTAATTTAGATAGTTCTAATTATAATCAAATCCACGGAGTGTCTGGGTGGCTCAGTCGGTTAAGCATCTGACTTCAGCTCAGGTCATGATCTCACGGTTTGTGGGTTCGAGCCCTGAGTGGGGCTCTGTGCTGACAGCTAGCTCAGAGCCTGGAGGCTGTTTTGGATTCTGTTTCTTCCTCTTTCCCTGACCCTCCCCTGCTCACTCTCTCTCTCTCTGTCTCTCAGAAATAAATAAAATATTAAAAAATATTTTAAAAAATTACAATAAAATCCATACAGTATTCATTCACAAAATTATATATTCATTTTATCTAAAGTGCCGTCATTTATGAGAAAAGAAATGTCAAATCATACTGAAAAAACTTCAGTTGGTATTTAAAAAACAAATGCCTATCCCACCTCACTCCATACTCAAAACTTAAAGATAGATCATAGACCTCAACATAAAAACCAAGAAGCTTCTGGGACAAAATATAGGATCTTCGTGATCTTGGAGTAGGCAATGATGACTTGGATACGACCCAAAAAATATTAGCCATAAAATACAAAAAATGGTAAACTGTACTTCATAAAATTTAAAAATGTATCTATTTAAATACAGCATAGACAATAGTATATGTGAAACTCATGACTCTGTATACCATTTCTTCCAATCAACAAAAGAAGAATAACACTTGGAAGTGACAAATGACATAAACACATATGTTAGAAAAAATATGAAATGTTATCAGCATCATCAGTAATTATTGAAATAAAAATGAAGGATCACATTGAGATGCCATTTCATTCCCACTAGAATTTTTAAAATCAAAATGACTGATCACACTAATATTGATAAGGATGTAGAACAACTAGAGCTCCTAGACACTGCTGAGGCCAATGGAAAATATATTTGGAAAATGGTGATTTCTTACAAAGTTAAACATCTACCCATCCTAGGTAAGTGAAAATATATATTGACAAAGAAAAAAAAAACTTGTATGAGATTGTTAATAGCATCCTTATTCATACTATTCCTTCAATGGAAATTACACAAAAATTTATCAATAGACAAATGATGGCATATTAATATAATACATTATACTATGCATCAATAAGGAACTACTGATAGAGCAAAGAACAAACACTATTAGAGCATGATGACAGAATCCCAAAAATATTGTGTTCAGTTAAAAACTACAGACAGAAAAGAGTACATTCTATCTGATTCCAGTTACAGAAAGTCTAAGTACAGGCAAAATCTGTCTATAGAGATAAGAGTGAGAAGAGAATAGTTTCATCAGATGGGGAGAAAGGGTAAGAAGACTGGAAAGAGGTAATAATTTCTCAGTAATAGAAGAGATTTGTATCTTATTTTATGTAATGAACAATTTTATGTAATGTACAAAGAATGTATAATTATCAAATTCATCAAGCTGCATACTTAAGGTATATGCATTTTATTATACGTAAATTATATCTCAAATGCAATAAAACAAACAAACAAGAATTCAAAATCCTTATCTGTCTTAAAACCCAATTACCATGTTCTTTCAAGGTCATCTTCTCCATATATCCTTTCACCTTATCTTTTTCCCTTATGACTATTTCTTCCATACAATCTTCTGTAAAATGAACTTTCTTTTAACATGTTTTTTTAATCATATCATTTTCTTTCTTTTTTTTAATGCTTATTTTTGAGAGAGTGTGTGCATGCAAACAGGGGAGGGGCAGAGAGAGAGGAAAAGAGAGAATCCTCAGCAGGCTCCGTGCTGTCAGTGCAGAGCCTGATGTGGGGTTTGATCTCATGAACACTGAGATCATGATCTGAGCTGAAATCAAGAGTTGAATGCTTAACCGACTAAGCCACCCGGGTACTCCCCATATGGATTTCTTTCTTAAAATAAGTCAAGCCCTAGGTCTTACTTCCAGTATGAATTCATTTCAGTTCACCAAGAGCCAGGCACTGTCCTGATTACTGTGGTTACTAATATGAGGGTATCTCTGTCCTTATCCCTGAATCTTAGAGTCAGGTGAGAATAAAAACAAAAAAAATTTATTTCTTTTGAGGAGGGAGGGGGCTGTCCAACATCTACACAATACTCCCATGTTTGGAAAATTCCCTACTATTAGGGATTTACAGACACAAAATGGATGTATATTTGTTTTCCCAGCCTGTCTTGCAAAGAAGTTACCCTGGGCATCTCAGCTAGATGCCTCCCATAAGATGCACTAGTCTCTGACTTCAGATGAGGAGCTAGTGACACAAGGAAGCAGGAGGTGGAGCACCAGGCACCCTTCACTTGTCCTTCACCTGTGGCAGCAGTGACATCTCACAGCAATGATTCTGTGTGAAGATATAGGCTGCTGTCAGCCTCCTTGCTCTTATAAGTTCTCTGGGCCTGATTTTCTCCAATTTCACCCTGATTTTCACCCTTATTCTCTGAGCCATAGAATTTATCCAATTCTATGAAATATCTATTATCCTTTCAGTAATTCAGCAAAGAGATTATGATAAGACCTATATAAAGGAAAGGTGAATTCTTAAAATTCCAACCCATATCTGTTAACATGGTATTTAGCAAACAACAGCAATTCCTTAAATACTTCTTGTCTGTTATAACACAGCATCAAATTTTACTTTTCCTTGAGATTCAATACAAAAACACTAAATTTTGCAAGGCTATACTTAAGAACATCTATGTATTTTTCTTGTTGAGATAACAACTTATATTTCAACTGGTATATAACTGGCTGATAATTCCTACCAATTTCCACTTGTGGGACACTGTCATGTTGACATCCTGCCTTGTTTTACCAATGCATTTGGCTACATATAATTGTTACAGATTCTCCACTCCAAAATTAATGCTTAAATATGATCTAAAACACACACACACACGCCTACCTTTAGTAAACAAATGAGCACAAAACATAATATAACTAATCTAGTCATATTTTAATTGTCATTAGCTTTATATCTGAAAGCTCATACATTTATTTGATAAATTCTTAGACAGTTGATCCATGAGAGATGGGCACTAGGGTTATATCAGTGAGCAGGTAAGAAAAGGAGCTTACTGTATAGAGGGAAAGTCAGATGATAAATGGGCAACTTAAAAAAATAATAAAATTTCATATAATAGAAAGTGAATACCCACTGTGAAGAAGTATTAGTATAAACTGGCTAATGGGGAAAGGGCAATTATGAAAGAGTAATGCTCAAGTGTCCACTGACTGACAAATGGATAAAAAAGATGTAGTATTTGTGTATGTGTATATTACCCAGGCATCAAAAGGAATGAACTCTTGCTGTCAATCTCAAAGGATAGGGGACAGTGAAGGAGGTGTGAAAAAGAGATGACAGTATAGCAGGGCACAGGGAACCCCGAGCCAACAGCTCAAGGTCCAGAACTTTATTATGCATCTTCATATATATATATACCTTCACAGAGATATGAATAAACTATGAATAACTACAAAAGCTTAGTGAAGTATGGCAACAACGTACAGCTGGTAAAGCTGCAGTACATTGGGGCGCCTGGGTGGCTTAGTCGGTTGAGCGTCCGACTTTCGCTTGGGTCATGGTCTCGCGGTTCGTGGGTTCGAGCCCCGCGTCGGGCTCTGTGCTGACTGCCAGCTCAGAGCCTGGAGCCTGTTTCTGTCTGTGGCTCCCTCTCTCTCTGACCCTCCCCTGCTCACGCTCTCTCTCTCTCTCTCCTAGAAATAAATAAAAACATAAAAAAAAAAAAAGCTGCAGTACACAAACACCATGTAGGAGTTGTCTCAGAAGAAAAACAAGCTATGATAGGAGTCTTTTTGGCAGGATGAAATACAAAGAGGGGAGTGAACACACTGTGCTATTTACTGCTGGCTTCCCTTAAGCAAAGCATCTTTATGTGTGTACTAAGGAACAGGCCAAATTCCAAGGGCATTTCACTCAAGTCCTCTCAGGTTGTTTTCAACCCTGCAATCTCGAGTTTTCTCAGAGATCTCTGACCCTGAGTGGGTATGCACCTGTGGTCGTGACACTGCTCCGTTTCCCACACTTGACATTAGCAACGATGTGAACTCTTGCCATTTGCAATGACGTGGATGGAGCTTGAATGTATGATGCCAAGCAAAATAAGTCAGAGAAAAACAAATACCAAATGATTTCACTCACATGCGGAATTTAAAAAACAAACAGAGAGGGACACCTGGGTGGCTTAGTCAGTTAAACGTCCAGCTTTGGCTCAGGTCATGATTCATGGCTCATGAGTTTCAGCCCTGTGTCAGGCTCTGTGCTGACAGCTTGGAGCCTGGAGCCTGCTTTGGATTCTGTCTCCCTCTTGCTGTCCCTCCCCCATTCATACTCTTTCTCTCCCTTAAGAATAAATAAACATTTAAAAAAATAAAATAAAAAATAAAAATAAAACGGATAAACATATGGGAGAGGAAAAAAGAGAGAGAGAGCAAGGGAAACAAGTCATAAGAGAATCTTAATGATAGAAAACAAACTGAGGGTTGATGGGAGGTGGGTGGGGGATGTGTTAGATGGATGATGGGTACTAAGGAAGGCACCACTTGTAAGCAAGGGCACCACTTGTTTAGCACTGGGTGTTATATGTAGGTGATGCACCACTGAATTCTACTCTTGAAACCAACATTTCACTCCACGTTAAGTAACTAGAATTCAAATAAAACACTGAAAATAAATTTAGAAAAAGTAAAGAGTGGTATACCTTCAGGGAGACAGAGAAAAACTTCCCTTCCTAAAGAGGTAGATTTATACTGAGATATTAGAGAAGGTTCTAAATTAAAAAAATGTATAAATTGCATTCCAGGAAGAAAATAAAAAATGCAAAAATCATACACAGAAATACTCTTGGTATATTCAAGAAACAGAATCAAGACTAAACAAGAGAATTCTTGTGCACTGTTGCTGGGGATATAAATTGGTGCAGCCACTATGGAAAACACTATGGAACCCTCCTCCCCAATTAAAAATAAATCTACCATATGATCCAGTAATTCCACTTCTGGGTTTTTATCTGAAGGAAAGAAAAACACTAACTCAAAAAGATCCATTGCAGCATTATTTATAAGAGGTAAGATCTATAAACAACCTAAGTGTCTACTGATGAGTGAATGCGTAAAGAAAATGGAATATTATTCAGCCATTAAAAATAATGACATCTTGTAATTTGTGATAACATGGATGACCTTGAGGTTATTATGCTAAGTGAAATATGTCAGATAGAGAAAGACAAATACTGTATGATCTCACTTAATATGTTGAATCTTAAAAAATAACAAAACAAAGTAAATTCATAGAAATAGAGAACAGATTGGTGGTTGCCATAGGGTGGTGGGTAGGTAAAATGGGTGAAAAAAGGTCAAAAAGTATAAACTTCCAGTTATAAAATAAATGGCATGGGGATGTAATATGTAGCATTGTGACTACAATGAATAATAGTGTTCAGTATATTTTGAAAGTTGCTAAGAGGGTAAATCTTAAAAGTTCTCATCATAAGAAAAAAAATTATAACTATATGTGGTGGTAATTAAAAAAAAGAATCAAGACTAGACCGGATCATAGAGAGCATTTTAAAGAGACATAAAGTGGGGCAGATGAGGCAGGAAAATGGGGATGGGCCCATGGTGTCCTAGTGAAATCATTTGATTTCATTCTAAGTATAACTGGAAGTGAACTGTTCAGATTTACATTGCAGGAGGATCCCTTTGTCAACAGGAGAGCCTATTGAGGGGTGGAAAGTGGAGGGAGGGAAAACAGTTAGCAGGCTAATGCAGAAATCTTATTTTGCTCCACAGAAAATCTTACTGCTGCCTCAAAATTCACATAGTCCAATTAGCAATAGAATGATTTATATGCTCAGTCTTATAACATTTCCAACACTTAAAAATAATTGTGTTCAGTTGATGACAGCCATAATTTGTTTTTCTTGGTATTATTCAATGGGTTCTTTCTTCTCCTTCTTCTTCTTCCTCTTCCCCCTCCCCCTCCTCCTCCTCCCTCCTCTTCTTCTTGTTCTTCTTCTTTTTTAATCATTCACCCTGCTTGCTACATCCTGAGGCCATCTTCCCATCATAACCTAACAGGTCAGAGGATCTCACTTAGCTTGTAAAAAGAATGGTTTTTAGGGGCACCTGGGTGGCTCAGCTGGTTAAGCACTGGACTCTTGGTTTCTGCTCAGGTTACGACCTCGAGGTTTTGTGGGTTAGAGCCCCCTGTTGGGGTCTGCACTGATAGTACGGAAAAGCCTGCTTGGGATTCTCTCTCTCCCTCTCTCTCTGCCCCTCCCACACTCACACTGTCTCTGTCTCTCTCAAAATAAATAAATAAACTTCAAAAAAAAAAAAAGAAAATGAATGGTTTTAAGAATTTAATACTAATGAAAAGAATGTTTAAAATTTAATACTAGTGACAAATGAGACATATTGTCTCTGAGTTTATTTGTAACTTTTAAAATTTTTTTCACAGCTTATTTCTCAATGAGTTTAACTCTAATTATATTCAGTGAATTTAATCTCATATTAAGCTGACCTACATTTATCCATTCCTTTACCTGAAGTCTTTATTTATTTATTTATTTATTTATTTACTTATAGCGAGCAGGGGAGGGGCAGAGAGAGGGAGACAGAAGATCTGAAGTAGGCTCTGCGTGGCAGCACAGAACCTGATGTGGGGCTCAAACTCACAAACTGAGATCATGACTTAAGCTGAAGTTGGACGCCCAATTGGTTGAGTCACCCAGGGGCCCCCAAAATCATCTTCTCACATTTAAATTTTCTGTATGTATTGCAAAGGAAAATTATAGAAACACTTTCAAAAATAAGTGAATAAGGATAAAAAGACATACAATTTTAAAATTAGAGTTAAAATTTCCATTAAAAATTTTATAAACCAAATCTGTCAACTCAGGAAAAATTACTCCTTTGTAGCAAGAAGTCACAGATCTGGATTATGTTGTTCATTAATTCTCAGATTCAAGTGTCTCACATTTTACTGCAACTGAAAAGGAACAGAACAATTTCCAAATCTGATTGAGAATTTTGTGGAACATGTACATTGCAATTGCTGGTGCAGACGATGAGAGGAGAAAGAGAACAGTTGAATGAATGTAGAGCTTTTGGATAGCAGATCTAAATTACCAACGCAAGAAACAAGACACTGATGATAAGTTCAATTTCATTATGCTTAACAAATAAACTCTAACCTACCGTTTCGACCATTTTGTTTTAAAGTATTTGCAGAAAGTTGGATAGTGCTTCCATGACCCATGTTTTCTGGAAATTTTAGGTCTTCTAAGTTTCCTTCTGTGCTCAGCCTTGCAACTTCCAATTCTGTTAATGGCAAAGAGTTATCAGTGCTCACTGAGAAACACATCAAAGCTAAGATGATTTCCTAAATCACTGAAATATTTCTGAAATCAAAACACTGAAATTAATGTTCTATTAATTTATAGTACTCAAAATTTATTGTAGTTCAATATTTTACTTAGAAAGTATTTCTTTAGTATTTTATTTTTACAGTAAAGCAATTAAAACTATTAAAATCAGGTAAATAAAAATACACATGTATCAGTTATAAAGCCTAAATTTAAAACTGAAGCACAAACCCTTATACTTTGTCATTTAATTTAAGTTTATTTTCAAAATATACCTTTATTTTGTGAATTAAGCAAAAATCATTTTATAATCTAGAGCTGCACTATCATAACAAGATTGATGTATCTTTAAATCTAATAAGTTTGAAACAGCTTTATCAAATCTGAAATAAAACTATCAGCTACATCCTTATGCACAATAAAAATAGATTTATACTCCTTATGAGCCATTAAGACAATTACAAAAAATTGTTTTATCACCTTCACTTAAATGACTGATTTCTTTATAGTATATAATTCAGAGACATTCTTATTATTACTGAAGTGATCCATAAGCATTCTATTAGGAGGGTAACATTTTAAATAGCACAGTACATACACAGATAGATACAGTCATATGAAGCAAAGGATCTCACTGTGAGTGATCTCAGGCTAATATATCCAATACTGGAATGTCCTAAGCAGGATAACAAATCTGATTCTAAGACCCTTTTAAGCCAATGGCAGGTGATATCCTTCTAATTATAGGGGAAAAAAATCACTTATCTACACTGAAATAAAAATCACTCATACTATCTGGGCTACCCCAGACATTTTTTTTTTCCCCCTCTTCTGTCTTCTGCTGTACAAGGGTCTCTGGCCCTTCTGTATAACAAAGGCCACTTACGAATATTGTCTGTGTTCTCCCTGACAATGTCAGTCTTCAAAAGGTTATCAGCCAGCACAAAAGCGCTTTCCTCCACAGTGTCCAGCAACATGGTGGCTGCACGTAGTTGATCACTTGTAGTCAGGTCTCTCCATGCATTTGAGGCTTGTGGCTGGAGGAGGTTGTTAACTGTCTCGACCATTGCCTACAAGAGGATGAACAGAATGACAGAGGTCTCCAGTGAACTCACAGAGCTGTCAGAAATCCAGGTGTACATGTTGCTCAGCAAGCAAGGATCAGCGGTGTGCATGAGTTCAGTATTGTCCCAGCCTCCCCTGTGACATGCTGCAGCAGAAGCATTCATTATTTTGTTCTGTTAAAACCCTAGCTGAGCCTGTGAGGCAAGACAAAAATGAGCTTTTGTTTTGAAGGACAACATAGATCCATGCTTGCTTCTGAGAATCAATGGCAAAGACTTCAATAAGACTATAATCACATAATTAAATTATTTGGCTGGGGAACCGTTGGCAAGTAACTGAAACCAACACTTTTATCATATCACCCGCAAAAAAAAAAAAAAAAGAGTTTTTTCTATACATCACCATAAAACTACATGTTAAACACAACAGATGAAAGGGATGGCTATAGACAGGACAATATAAAAATTGGTTGCCTATAGGTTCAGGATTCACTGAGCAAACCAATTTTGTTCTTAGCCAGCTGGTAAAATGTCAGAATGGGAAAAAAAATATCAAAGCATACATACTCCCAGGGGCTTTGGATATGTTATGTGTGAAGAAAAACCTTCTTCATGCTGTTTACTATTAGGGAGGGAAGTAAACAGTTGGAACTTGCTACCTGTTGCCCTCAGGTGTTTTTCCTTTAAAAAAAAACAGCAGTAGGTACGCACAGAGATAAAGCACCACAGTTCTCATTGCTTCATCCAAAAGAATCATCTTCCTAGTTACAATTTATATATTACCTGTGGTTAGCTTTATGGTCTAGGTTACAAAGGAAAAGAAAAGTTCTCCCCATAAGGTCTTCTTAAGGTTTCATTCAAACAGAGAATTGCAAAATAGAAAAATACAACACCTGCAGTTTGAAAGTGATCATCTCTGGCCAGTTGATTATGAAATATGCATCTAATCGAGAAATAAACTTGAATAAATGGCCAACACAGACACTTTCTATGGAGCGCATGGGTGTTTTAAAACAAGGCTCACATTATTGACATGTTGGCAGAAGGATTAGGAGAGATGGAAGAAATATCCATTACACTGCAGTGTTTTCTTCTGGCTGGTTTTTTCATAGTAACCAAGTAACAACTGTTAAAAATTCAGCTTCATAATGAAACACCTTGGCTGCCAATTAACACTAGCTTCAAAAACTAATTTGCTTTTTGATAACAGTGGTTTTTTTCTTGATATTTTTCCCAGTGAGTCCAAGTTCTGGCCAAAAAATCAACATCACTGGACGTTTATGTAAAATAGTCCTACTAGCAACTTGAGTGTTTTGTATCATTTAAAGCAAACAAACAAACAAAAGAACACCAAAAAATCTCTCATGAGTTTAATGACTGGGCATTTTCACATAGTTCTGTCACTTAGTTTTGTCATGTGTTCTGAGTTTAAAGCATGACCCAGAAGCCAGACAAGAGCATTTCCGATCACAACAAAATGGTCTGCTTTTCAGGAAGTTCGCCATAGGGATAATGCCAACAGAGAATGCCAAAAGGAGGTGCCACATATGAAATAAATGAACCAAAAAAAGTTGGGGTATTTTCAGAAGCCAGAGGACCTTGACCTCTCCAGTGCAAAGAAGTATTCTTTCTGTGATTAGATGATCCTTTGAATTCATTGGAAATGCTCTGAAAATCCCACATGCAACAGAAATGATGCCTGGTCTCAAAGGAGCAGCCATTTTAACATTAGTTAATAATCTTATACTGATTAAGTTAAACAATACCTTAGGGAAAATTTTATTGGTGATAAATGCAGTATTTCTACTCCACCCTTTAATGTTTTTTTTTTTAATTTAAAATAATGCAAAAGGAGGAAAAAAGAAAATGAAAACAAGAAAAACAAACAACTGTGTTCAACTCTGAAAATGTTCTAAACGGCCACCTATTTACAACAGACTGCTTTAGATAAAGTACTGTGTTTGAATGGGTAACAAATCAAAGGCACCCTTTATTAATTCATCTTAGTTTTACACCCAAAAAAATATATGTAGTGCAATATTTTTATAGTCAGAAATTTTAAGTACAATAATCACATCTTCCCAAATAAGTTATAATCTTTTTTATTTAGTTTTTTATTTCTTAAATGTTTATTTTTGAAAGAGAGACAGAGTGCAAACAGGAGAGGGGCAGAGGGAGAGGGAAACACAGAATCTGAAACAGGCTCCAGGCTCTGAGCTGTCAGCACAGAGTCCGACACGGGGCTCGAACTCCCGAACTGCAAGATCATGACCTGAGTGAAGTCAGGCATTTAACCTACTAAGCCACCCAGGTGCTCCAAGGTATAATCTTTAAAGAAACTTTGTATTATAGCTCAAATGATTTCCAAGTTTATTACAGAAATGAGAGACGTAAAATATAGTCCTAAAACTTGGATGGGTTAAATTTAATACTTATTTATTCTTCTTTAAAAAGCACGTATTGTGATGGCTTAAGTGTAAATGTAAGGAAATTTCAACACAAGGATTGGGAGGCAGAATCCTGTAGTGTTAAAACTGGAATATGGGATTTGGAACCATATCTCCTGAGTTTGTACCTGGACTGTGGCACCTACTAGCTGTGTGATTTGGGGCAAGTTAATTAACTTGTCTGTATGTCACCTGTACAGACATAAAATGATATAACCATTTTATATTGCTGGGCAATATATATGCATTTATGTTGCCTGGCTCATAATGCGTGCTGAACTTACAATCTCATGTTGACTTCAATTGGATATCCAAATCCAGTTTGGGAAAAAGAGAGGTCTTTACTGAATGAAGCACACGTCCTATCTGATAATTACAAAATATTCACTCTGAACTGAGATCTGTAAGGAACAACTTCTAGAATGCAATCTTCATAAATAAACCGTCTCACAACTCAACTACTAAAAGACTATGCCACCAGAAGCTGTGAGGAATAGGACAGTACAGGAAGATGTGTATTAAACAATTCATAATGTGTATCTTAGAGGTTTGAAAAAAATGACCTGTTTTCTTCTAGTGTAATACAGAGTTTAAACTTTCCAAAGTTTGCTGATATGTCCCTGTTACCAGTTTAATGATGCTAATTAACTAGTCACAACTCTTCAGTGAAAAAAGAATATCCATATTTTGTTTTCCTTATACATTTTTTGCATTTGTATATTTTTCCCACAAATGACGACATCTGGTTATTACGTGTGTGTGTTTGATCAAACTAGTTATTTGCATTGCTTTCATTAGTTCAACAACATCTCTTTAAAAACATTTTGATTTTCATTTTATTTGGTTAGAAGGAAATGAGCTTACCTATGCTTTGAACCAAAATTAAATAGGGAATGTACAATGAATTTGATTAGAGCGAGGTACTGGGACATCATTTAATGTCTAACATCTCTCACCAATTTCTTTCTCTGCCAAAAATATTTTTCTAATCTAAAATCTATATGATATGTTTGGAAGAAAATACACATGGTCCTGCATTTATCTTAAAGAAATTTATATTTTCACCAAAATGCTTTGATCTGGGAGGGGGGAAAAATCACCTAACGGATTTGACATGTATGGACTGAAATCATCTAAAATTCAGAAAAGTAAGTTTAATAAATAACGTCCTTGTCAGAAACTAAAAGTTAACTCCCTTTATTATCTGTTGTAAAACACTAGAAACTGGAGAGGAGATGGCACCGGAAATTTGCGTTCTAGTAGTCACTATATTTCAGTACGTCTTTGAGCATATTTATGTTCAAACAATAAAGTGAGAACTACACAAGAAAGTAAATCTCATTATGTTCCAATATAAGGGTACCCAGGGGCATTCGACTATTAGATATTACTCTTCTTATTATATAGTTTTATAGTTTATGGCTGGACTCTAAAGTGACTTGATTATTTCTAAAAATCAAATATTAGAATGTAAAAAAGTCACTTGAATTGACACCAGGATGATGGGCATACCATATCCTTCTGGATACACAGTTGCATTACACACCATTATTGGACCACCAATCATAAAATTCAAATCTTAAACAAATTCATTTGACTAGTTTTACTCATAGCATGTAATTGTAGTATGTTCGCTAAAAAATGTTTGTTATAAAGTGTATAATCATGCTATTTCAAAAGTAAATGCTACTTGAGCATTTACTTAATTTGCTATAACTACTGTGAAAAATTTGGGGGAAAACCAGCTATATATCTCTCTAGTAACAACTTTTGTCATTATTCCAAGAGTTCATGCTTGTGTGATAGCCTAGGATCAGAGAAGATAAACATGTCAATGGCACTTCTTACCTAACGTGGGGAGTATATCTCAAACTAGGAAAGCAAAATCACCTGGAGAACTTAGTGACACCTCTCTCTTCATTTGAAAACCACTAAAGATCAAAATAGAATGAATACTTTGTAAAAAGATATATAACTTTACCAACATTGTATCTGTCTGAAGATAGGCTTTTTTTTTTAATGTTTTTTTATTTATTTCTGAGAGAGAGAGACAGCATGAGCAAGGGATCGTCAGATAGAGAGGGAGATAACAGAATCTGAAACAGGCTCCAGGCTCTGAGCTGTCAGCACAGAGCCTGATGCGGAGCTGAAACCCACAAACCATGAGATCATGAGCTAGGCCAAAGTCAGACTCTTAAACCACTGAGCCACCCAGGTGCCCCTAAAGATAGGCCTTTTAATCATAAGCTTATTCAGGTTTTAGCACAAGTACAATGAGTTCTTCCATTACCAGCATACCCTTAAATTTGTTATCTGTTCTGTTTTCTTTGTATCACGTATCATTACCTAAAGTATATAAAAATATTTATTTTAGTTATTTATCTACATGACTAATTTAGATCTCTCACTCAAAAGGTATGCCTCATGAGGGCAGTGACTCTGTATCCTCATGGCATATAAATGTTCAATATTTTTTGCTGAATGACTGCCATGCAGTGAAGATTCATACTTGAGTTTTCTCCATTTTCATACTAGCAGGAAAAAAAAATCTCTGAAGGT